TTCCTGCCATTTTATCCATCTTCTTGGGGGCTTTGGCAACTGGATTCTTCCCATGGTTCTTGGACTCTCAGATTTGGTGCGGTTTCTTGGCGTTTATTGTGGTCTTGTTGGTTTTCTATGTGTAGGACATCTTTAATAATCTTTTGTATGGCTGGTTTGGTGGAGATATATTGTTTCAATTTTTCTTTGCTATGGAAGGTTTTTATTTGACCTTCGGTTATGAAGGAGAGTTTAGCTGGGTACAGAATTCTTGGTTGATAGTTGTTTATTTTTAGGGCATGGCATACATCATTCCATTCTCTTCTTGCTTTGATTGTCTCGCCAGAGAAATCTGAGGTGATTCTAATTAGTATCCCTTTACAGGTGATTGATTTTTTTCTCCTCGACAGCTTTAAGGATCTTTTTCTTGGTCTGAATTGATCCTGTAAGGATTATAATGTGATGGTGCGATGTCCTATTCTGGTCTGGTCTATTTGGAGTTCTAAAAGCTTCTTGTATTTGAATATGACTATCTTTTTGCATGCTTGGGAAGTTCTCTGCTAGAATCCTGTTAAACAAATTTCCTAGACCATTAACTTCTGTCTCTAGGTGCTCCTCATTATCCTCAGATTAGGCCTTCTGATGGTGTCTTCCAAGTGTCGAATAGATCTATCATAATTCTTGGATTTGTCTTGGATGGTTGTATCTTCTTTCTTTATAATATCTAGGCTGTCTTCAATCCCTGAAATTGGATCTTCTGTATGGTCTAGCCTACTATCAAGACTTTCTACTTTTTTTTTTATTCCTTTTCCTTCTATTTGGTCGGCTTTGATGGCTTCAAATTCTTTGTTGGATCTTTGTTTTAGATCTTGTATGAATGTCTTTACTTCTTTAATTTGGTGTTCAGTGTTTATTCTCAAATTACTTAGTTGATTGGTTATGGTTTCTTTGGACTCTCATTCCTTCTGTTGGGTTCCATTCAGCACTCCCTTTGTGGTCTCCCTGACTTCTTTCAGCTCTCTGTTTATGGATTTTATGAATGCCTTTAGTGATCTTTCTGTATTCTCATCCTGCTCTCTCAATTCCTGTATTACTCTTTGATTAGCTTCTTCATGTTTATGCATTTCCTGTAGTTCTCTTTGAGTGTTCTCAGCCTGCTCACACCATTCCTGACTGTCTGATCTCAGCCTGCTCACACCATTCCTTTATTTCTCTTTGAGTGTTCTCAAGCTGCTCATGCAATTCCTGTATCAATTTTTGAGTAGCTTCCTCACGCTCATGATATTCCTGTATTAACCTTTGTTTTGCCTCCTCTCTCCCTATCGTGCTCATACAGAGTCCTTTGTAGGTTTTCAATTGTTGCATTTACCATGTTTACCAGTAGTGTTTGTAGAGCTTTTTGGGAACTCTCCTCTGGATTATTCATTATCTTTTCTGTCCCCTGATTATCACGAGTGGGAGTTGAGATACCCAGACTTGCCATTGTTCATGTGTTTTTCCACGTTGCTCTGCCCATTTGGGATGAAAGTAACACCAGTTTTGTGCTAGCACACTATTTTAAGGCAAGCATCAACCAAAGTCTGTAGTTGCACAGTCAAAAGTCTGCAGATACAATCTAGTTCAACAGATATATCTATTTCAAATTCATTTTTAAGAAGATTCAGCTCAAGAAAAGATAGACTGACATCCCTTGTAATACTAAAATTTTATATCCTTGACATTGTTTCTTATATTTGAATATAGAAAAACATTTTCAATAAAAATTCTGTGGAATGGTTAAGTATCTATTTATTTACTTTGGTGAAACTGGAGTTTGAACACACATCTAATCCTTGAGTCTAACTCCTTGCCTCTGGCCCTGCATTTTTCTGGATGCTTTTAGAGATTGTTGCTGGTAAACCTCTCTACCTAGACGAGTTTTGAGCTGCCACTCTAGAACACTCATTCTCCAGAGTACCTAGGATTAAAAGCATGGGTCACACTGTCCAGTTTGATAATGATTATGATTCTTTTTTTTAACAATTTAAAGTTTTATTTCTTGATGCATATTTATCACTGACAAGTATATTATTAGAAATATCTTAGGCTAGCCCGGCACCAGTGGCACATGCCTGTAGTCCTAGCTCCTCAGGAGGCTGAGATCTGAGGATTGTGGTTCAAATCCAGCCCAGGCAGGAAAGTCTGTGAGACTCTTATCTTCAAATAAGGACCAGGAAATTGAAAGTGGCAAGTGATAGAGAGCTAACTTTGAGCTGAAGAGCTCAAAGATAGTGCCCAGACCCAGAGCTCAAGCCCCACAACTGACAACAACAACAACAAAATAGTATGCTTAGTACTTTTTATGTTACATAGATCACCTTAGCTCATACTTATTAAAAGGTATGTGGATTTGGAACGATTGCAGAAAATGCATTTGTAAGTAAGCCTATGTTCACTTAGGTGTTGATGCATGAAAAGACATATTGTCAGGGGCAAACTGCTCTAACCCCTTTAAGTGATTTTCTAAGCACAAGAATATAGTTTAATATGGTAGATTATCTTACTTTGAGACAACTCTTGTTTTTATATTTATCTTGTACCAACTGCCTAAATCAAAGGGAGAATACCCATTGATGGCATCTCTTACTGTATTTAAATTAAAATTGAACATATTGCCTATGACCCTAGACATCTAAAGTTACTGGGATTAGAAACATTTATGTGTAGCATTCAAAATACAAAATACCAAGTGAAATGTGAATTTGAAATAAACAGTATCAAACATTTCAGTATTCTGAACCTGGAAAAACAACCAACAACAACAACAACAAAAACAGAATTTAAGTGGGAGCTGCCCTTCAATAGGGCATTGACAAGATTGAGTAAACAAGACTGATTTGATAGATCCTGTTTCTAGGTATATTTTTATTTGCTTTTGGTTCTTGTGAGACCCAGTACTGAATAATAAAATGTGATGTAGAACTGAAATAGTGCTGTCTTAACCTCCCATTTCACAGTTACATTTTTTTACATTACAAATAATTCACAATTCTGTATGTTACTTACTTGAATATCACATTAAATAGTACATCATTAAAGTGTGGCAAAACATTTTATCTCTGCCTAAATACATGATTTTCTCTTATTGGATGTATCAAAATGACAAAAACTTCAATATATTTAATTTTCCTGAGAGAATATCTATGCTTATTTCCGTGCTTAACTTAAATTTCTTGAATTCTGTGGCATCATTCCTTTTCATTATCAATATATTCCTTCTGTGATAGGTTAATGCTTGTACCAAAAATTTCTTAATCTGAAATATTTAATTAGGTAATTTGAATTATAGTGTTTAGAACAGAACTTTATTTGTTTCTCCAACACACAAAAATACTACAAAATAAGGAATGAGAGGTTGTAAGAAGTTTAAAAAGCTAGGCAAGAATATTCTAAATTCTACCTTATGTGTACTAATATTTATCTTAGGGTGATTCAAAGTGAGATAAATATGTCATAATATTTCTGAAAGTATATATTTAAAAAGTATTCATGTATTTCAGTTTTCTCTTCTAAACTTATTCTTTAGCTTTTGTAGTTGACTGATGGTGTCAACTTGTCATTCATCACTTAGAAGATCATTGGTGTTCAATCACAAAACCAGCAAGAGATTGTCACCAGCAGGAGATTTTCTGTTCTGACATGTACATATCCCTGTGGTGGCTAGGGTAAACAAGACAAAATTAATTTATTGTAAATAATAAATAAACATAATATTTATTTAACATTTCTGTAAATGATTATTTTCAGTATTAAGAAATTTATTTTATTTATTTAATGATTGTTTACTTGTTAATTAATTAATTAATCCAATAACTTACTATTAAAGAATAGTAGGTGAGTTAACAGGTTAAAGAAAAACAATGGCAGGGGCTTGGAAGGTGTCTCAGTGGTAGAGCGTTTGCCTTGCATGCCTGAGGCCCTGGGTTCGATTCCTCAGC